CACCGGAGCTTCCCCACACGAAGGAGCTCATGCAAACGCTCCGGGAGACGCGAACGGCGAATGGTGAGGCGGTAACGGGAGCCGACCTGACTTGGAAGAGGAAGCATCGACTCCACGAGTCGCCCTCACTCCTTTGGATTAGCCTTTGTGGCTACACCCGCGGCGGCTACCGGCAACGAATTTAGCTCAGCTTAGGCCCGACAGCCCGGGTTCCGCGGCCGCATCACGTGATACGGCGGGCGGGGGCGCGCTCGGGAGCGAGCGTGGGAGCCTGGGAACCTCGGTAAGTCCCGAGGCCGCGGAGAGGGCTACGCACGCCCTCTGCTGGCGGGACCGACGCTTTCCCGCGTCTCCAGCCCCAAATCCGGAATTCAGTTAGTGAGGATAACGGGATCCCGAGTGCTGAAAGTACCGTTTCAATAGGAACTGGCACATGGAAGGCGCCCAGTACACACTTGTTGAATGAATGAGGGCACAGAGTATTAATACGTCTGTTCAAGAGTGTTTGGCACTTAGACATTCTATAACACATTATCCAGGGAATACATTTTTAAATAATTATTTTATTTAACTATGTTTTTTATTTTTTAAAGAATTATTTAATTTAATTTATTTATTCATTTATTTTAACTTTACTAGAGAGAAAAAGAAACTGAGAAAGCAAGCCTCCTGGTTCAGGACCTGAATCATGGTCAGCCATATGGCAGTGTCCCCGTAGTTTAAACACCAGGCTACCTCACCTGCTGGTCCTCTTATTTATTCATTTTAATTTGACCTGCAAGGGACAAAGTGAGAGAGAGGGAAAGTGAGAAAGCAAGCTGCCAGGTCCGGGACTCAAACCACCATTGGCCATGTAGGAGTCCAACACCCTTAAGCACCATGCCACCTGCCAGTCCCCAGGGAATAAATATTAATCTTAGATTTCCTGAAGGGACATTACCCTAAAAGATCCTAAACCATAAGCACTAAATATTACCCCTTAAGGCAACAAACCACTGGCCAGGGAGGAGCATATATTTTATATGTAGAACCTACAGAATACCTAATGTTATGCATGTTTACAAAGAGTATTCATTCACCTGTTAAGAATACGTAAATAAGAGCTCAGGTAAAATAAAACAGAACAGGAAGCCCTTAAGGGTTGCCCTTGGGGCCGCACATGGTGTGGTGGTTAAGGGCACTGGATTCTCACATGGTTGACTGTGGTTCAAGTCCCAGACCTGGCGGCTTGCTTTCTCACTTTCTGTCTCTGTCTTTGGTCAAATTAAAAAATAGTAATAACAAATAGAATAAATAAATGAATCTTTGGGGGAAAAAAAGGGAATGCCCTTAAAGAATCCTATTAAGGGGCCAGCAGATGGCGTGGTAGTTAAGGCACTGGACTCTCATGTGGTCAACTGTGGTTCAAGTCTCCAAACCAGTGACTTGCTTTCTCACTTTCCTCTTATCTCTCTCTCTTCTTCTCTCTGGTGAGCGCATGTGCCCTGTAGTAAATTAAAAATAACAATAAATAAAATTAAATAATTCTTCAAAAAAGGAAGATATTACAAGAACTGGACAGAAAAGAGAAAGTAGTCATTGGGGACCAGCAGTCAGCATAATGGCTATGTCGCTAAACTCCCATGTAGTCAACCACGGTTCAAGTCCTTGACCTGGTGGCTTAAAACTCACACCAGGCGCGTGTTTGTGCGTGCCCAAGATCCCGAGAGGAGAAGGGATTGCAGTGTGGCGATCCCCTCTGGGGGATGATTTCTCACTTTCTGTCTCTCTATCTCTGTCTTTCTGGCGAGCACACCTGCCCTATAGCAAAAATCTCTCAAAAAAAGAAAAGAAAAGAAAGAAAAAGTGGCCATTGGAAGGCCAGATTGAATTTAGGCTGTTACTGGTGGCAGTTCTCAGTAATGATAAGGACTATGATAAGTACAAAGCATTCATCAAAGGAGAGAGTAGTCCGGTAAAAGACAGGGTCGTTGGGAGGGAGGAGATCAGGGAACTGAGAAGCCAGGCATTCCAGATGCTTTTGGTGTCGTATACTCTTGACCTAGTTCTGATTTCAGCAGCAGTGTGGTAAACATTTCACGTAAGCTCGTTCTTCCCTGCCAATTTGCCACCTGAAAAGGGCATCTATCCTTTTTGCTTTCACCTCAGAGTGTCCTCCAAAGACCTTGAAGCCTGCCTAATTCACCTGCAAATTCAGTAAATATGAAGAAGATATGCTTCAGGGAGCAGCCCTTAACCAGTTCAGTCAGAAGCCAGTGGGTAAGTGCCTCAGTCTCTGGCCTTTGGTGAACAACTTTATGGGGCGCTCAAGATGCCGCTCAGATGTCTTCGTAGACTTGACCCCTTCGTTCATGGTAGTGACCTTGATAGCACACCTCCACAGAGGCCTTTCCCCATTCCTTACCTGCTTCCTGTGTTAGTTCCCACACAACTTGTATCCAAAGTGCCTGTTTCAGACTTTGCTTTCAGGAGAATCCTTACTAAAACACCAGAGTATTAATACTCTTCTACATAGACATTGTAATAACTAAGAATTGTGACAAGAATAGTAATGAGAAGGGACCAGCAGTTAGCATAATGGCTATGTCGCTGGACTCCCATGTAGTCAACTGTGGTTCACGTCCCGGACCCGGTGGCTTAAAACTCACACCTGGCACGTGTGCGTGCGTGCCCAAGATCCCAAGAGGAAGATGGAGGAGAAGGGATTGCGGCGTGGCCATCCCCCCTGGGGGGTGATTTCTCGCTCTCTGTCTGTCTGGTGAGCACACACGCCCTATGGCAAGAAAACCTCTCTAAAAAAAAGAATAGTAATGAAAACAGTAATGAAGTCAGGACCTAAAGTCATTAAAGAATGAAGGCCTATGACGTGGTGGGTCAGTACATAACTATGACAAGGAAGGTTAATTGATGAATAGTCCATTGAGAGGACTCTAAGCTAAGTGTTCATAGGATAGGAGGAGGGTGAAGGGGCAGTGGGGAGTGAAAATGACCCACTCAAGTACTCCAGGAAGAAAAAGCACTGACTTCAGGAGCAAATCAAGTTTCATGGCGAGCAAAAAATGAAAGGAACCATTAAGAGTTTGCACAGGGACCAGCAGTTAGTGTAATGGCTATGTCGCTGAACTCCCATGTAGCCGATTGTGGTTCAAGTCCTGTACTCGGTGGCTTAAACTCACGCCGGGCTCATGTACATGTGTGCCCAGGATACAGAGAGGAGAATGGAGGAAAAGGGATTGTGGCGTGGCCATCCCCCCTGGGAGGGGGTGATTTCTCACTTTCTATCTCTCTGTCTCTGTCTTTATGGCGAGCACATGTGCCCTATAGCAAAAACCTCTCAAAAAAAAAAAGTTTGCACATACAGGAGATTTTATTGCTTGTATAGATGCTCAGATGTTGGGAAAAAGGAGGATGATGTCAGGAGGAGGGAATGCTGAAGTGTACCCACATGAGAGGTAACCTAGGGGTAATCTAGTCTCCTTTGAAGAATGACACAACCAGGCTAAGGCATAATGAGATTGGTCTTATCAATGGAAAGGCAAATAGTTCTACGTGTCTGTGTGCATCCATGTGTTTGTGTGTGTGTGTGTGTGTGTGTGTGTGTGTGTGGCCATAGAGAAGGGTAGGAATATCATAAAAAATACATTGAGCAGGCCAGAAGGTGGCATGGTGGTGAAGGTGCTGGACTCCCACATAGCCAACTGTGGTTTGAGTCCCAGGCCCAGTGGCATCAAAATCATGCAGGGCACTTGTCCCCAAAATCCTGAGAGGTAAATGGAGGAGAAGGGATTACAGCATGGCCATCCTCCCTGGGAAGTGATTTCTCACTTTCCTCTCTCTGTCTTGCTCCCAGTGCTCTATGCTAAAAAAACAACAAACCTAAAACAAACAAACAAAACAAAACAAAAAACACACACTGAGCTCTAGGTCCCCTCTTTGTTGCAATTGAAAGAATGGAAGCTGGGAAGGGGCAGTCTTACTCCAAATCCACAGGATTCTTAGAAATTTTTCTAAGCCTTGCTATAGGAGGCAGCAGACCCAGGGAGAACATGGACTTATTTGGAGTACTGAGGGATCAAGTACTAGCGACCTGTTTGAGGCTAGTTTTCTCAGAGTAACTGTTGAATAGTCACCTATTCTTTCAAGATTGATTAGCAATTATTAACCAGTACCTGAAGCTTATACCTCAATTATATTTTCTAGATAAGGATGAAGTATAATAAGGGACTGGTGATGGGACCAGCAGATGACATAATGATTACATCACTGGACTCCCACATAGTTGATGGGAGTTCAAGTCCTGGACCTGGGTACTTAAAATCAGGCCAGACGCATATGTGCATGTGTTGTAAAATCCCCAGAAGAGAAAGGAGGAGAAAGGATTTCAGCATGGCCATTCCAACAGGGGGTGGTTTCTTGTTTATGTTTTTGGTTTTTTTGTTTCTCTGTCCTTCTCTGTCTCTCTGGTGAACACATGCGCCCTATAGCAAAAATCTCTCCGAAAAACAAATAATAAAATAAAGGACTGGTGATAGTCTATTTGTATAACAGAAAATAACACCTAAAGGCTGAAAAATTGCAAAAGTGTCTGAAGATTGAAAATACAACATCTGGGACCAGCAGTTGGTGTAATGGCTATGTCACTGGACTCCCACATTGTCGACCACAGTTCGAGTCCCAGACCCAGTGGCTTAATCTCATGCCGGGCATGTGCATGTGCATGCCCAAGATCCTGAGAGGAGAGAGAATTGAGGAGAAGGGATTACAGCGTGACCATTCCCCCTGGGGGGTGATTTCTCACTCTATGTCTCTCTGTCTCTGTCTTTCTGGCGAGTGCATGCGCCCTATAGCAAAAACCTCACCAAAAAAATAATAATAAAAAACATAATTAAAAAAATAAAAATGGTACCAGCAGTTAGCGTAATGGCTATGTCGTTGGACTCCTATGTAGTTGACTGTGGTTCACGTCCTGGACCTGGTGGCTTAAAACGCTGTGGGTACGTGTGCTTGTGTGCCCAAGATCCCAAGAGGAGACTGGAGGAGAAGGGATTGCGGCGTGGCCATCCCATCCGGGGGGTGATTTCTCACTTTCTGTCTCTCTGTCTGTCTCTGTCTGTCTGGCGAGCACATGTGCCCTATAGCAAAAACCTCTCAAAACAAAAAAAAAGAAAAAGAAAATACAACATCTGTAAAACAACATCCTCATGCACCAAAATGATTAATTCTTGAAAAGCTGATGATTAAATGCATGTTTTTTTAGAACAAACAGATATTTTAGCCATCCTATTTGGGTTGACCAGTTTGCAACCTATAAACTTGCCTAAGGTCTGATTATCTTCCACCATTATCAGCTCATGTTGTTTATTGACAGATTAGGACTAGATAGATCTAGGTTTTCTGACTTGTGTTTGAATTATTCTTTCTCTCTGGAGAATGATTATGGAGAAAAAGATAAAAGAAAAGAGGGGCAAAAATGCTCAGGGCAGGACCAGCAGTTAGCATAACGGCTATGTCGCTGAACTCCCATGTAGCCGACTGCAGTTCAAGTCCCAGACCCGGTAGCTTAAACTCACGCCGGGCACATGTGCATGTGTGCCCAAGATCCTGAGAGGAGAATGGAGGAGAAGGGATTGCTGCGTGGCCATACCCCTGAGGGGTGATTTCTCGCTTTCTATCTCTCTGTTTGTCTCTGTCTTTCTGGTGAGCACATGTGCCCTATAGCAAAAACCTCTCTAAAAAATAAAAATGTTCAGGGCATGATTTTCTTATTAAGTGGGATGGAATTTTCTCTTCCAGACCTGATTCTTCTCATCTCATGTAAGGCTGCCTCAAAAAAAGACTCGAGCTCTAGTTTCTCTTTGTTTCTTATCCACAGGTATGGACATCTTCTGCCTTATTTATCTCAAAGTATACCCTAACTCTCCTTACAGGAGAGGAGTGGTTATACCTGAGATGGGTCTAGTTTTACTGATGTGTTTTTTTTTTTTTTATTTAACTTTATTTATCCATTTATTAATTTACTAACTTACTTAAATTTGATCAGAGGGGGACAGAATGAGAGAGAGAGGGAAAATGAGAAAACAAGCGGCTAGGTCCGGGACTCAAATCATGGTCAGCCATGTGGGAGTCCAGCATCCTTAACCACCACGCCATCTATCGACCACAGTTTTTCTGATTTTCTTTTTCTGGACCTGTTTGCTTATGTGTCCGAGTTAAGCTCACTTCTTCTCGTTTCCTTGCCTAGAAAATAGATTCTCCAGCAGGTATAGTAGAAACTGTCCTTTAAAAAAGAAAAGGCAAGGTTTTGACTCTGGGTTTATTAACCTCACACTCTGGTATCCTCCAACAGCCAATGTTGGTCTTGCAGCATCTGGGACAGATAATCTTCAAAACATGTCACAGGAGTTAGTTGTTTACAATGGCAGGAGCTGTTATCTGAGACTACATTGACTCCTTGGCTTAAGGGATAGGAAGTACAGATCTCTGACAGACCCTGAAAGAAACACTCACACACGCGTACACATGCACTTTGAATAGTGGTTTCATTATCTGTAATCATGCAGGTAATTACTTACTATTTCAATAACAGATTAAAAATAAACAACTCTACCTTGTCTAATTAGTGCTAAGTAGAAGAAACAAAAATTAGCAGTTGTTGGCCAATTATAACACTTCATATTCATGCTGTTATTTGGAGATTGTTTAATTAGAATTTTATTTTTAAATACTATTACAATACTTTTTATTCAAGCTATTAGCATTTTAAAAGCCTTTCCTAATTTATTTTCAAATACAGTTCGATAATTTATAAGATAAGAGTAAACTATATAGGGACCAACAGATGGCAGAGCAATTCTGTCACTGGACTCCCACATGGCCAACCACGATTTGAGTCCCAGACCCAGTTGACTTGAAACTCAACCACCAGGTACATGTGTGTGTACCCAGGATCCTGGAAGGAGAATGAAGAAGAAGCAATTGTAGTGCATCCCCCCTGGGGAGTGATTTCTTACTTTCCCTCTCACTTGTTTCTGTCTCTCTCTCTTTTTCTCCAGTGACCACGCATGCCCCTAAGGCAAAAAAAAAAAAAGAATAAACTATATAAAAATGAAATTTTAGTCATAGAATTTAGACATTTATTTTCTGTATAAGAATCAGTTTTTGGGGCCGGAAGGTGGCATGGTGGTTAGAGATGCTGGATTTCCACATGGCTGACCGTGGTTCGAGTCCTGGACCTGGACCTCTCTCTCTCTCTCTCTCTC